ATCCAAAAAGCTATTGACAAAGTATGGCACGATGTCCTAATATTCAAGCTGATAACCATGGACGTATCTCATCAACTAATCAACTTTCTCAGATCCTTCCTCCTTAACTAATCATTTTAAGTTAAAATTGGCAACTCAGTATTACACTTTATTTACGACCCGGGCAGTCCGTCAGGGCGATCCGTAGCAAAACTAAAAATGATCTTTATTACTCCACCAAAAGCCAAAATCACCATAACTACTACCTAATCGAATTGGAAGAGAATATTATTGCTAAATAATATTTTTTTAAAGCATTTAAAGTTCGAATTTTGACATAGTACTTGAAAATAACAAAAATGTGCAAATTATTTTGAGTTAGAAATTCATACAAATTTTTCTTTTTCAACCTAAGATTTCAAAATGTATTACACGATTTCTCATAAGTATTTCTACCTTTGTCAAAAAAAAAAAAAAATCTACCGGAAATTCATATGAAATATTTATGAACGTTAGAAGTTCCAAATGTTTACAGTTTTGGATATTATCTCGATTTCACATGAAGCAATTATCTTATTTTTTTGTAATTTAAAAAAGAATAACTGTAGATACTTGAAATACACACCATATGTTTATTTTATCAATTTCCATACTTGATAACATTTTCAAAACATTTTTACTCTTTCTAAGCTGTTTTATGTTTACGGACATTTAGCTAAGGATTGAAAATGTAAAACAATATTCCACGTAAATAGGTTATATATTATGAATTAATTTATTCACAGTATTGTAACGTATGTTCCATCATTACGTTTATTTTATAAGCATCATAATATGTACATTAGGCATATTATGCGCTGACTATAATAATATATTAAGCCCCTCCGGTTTAGGTGACACATATATATTTTATGATTGTAAGGCTCCGGCCAATATCCCTTTGTAAGAGAATGACAGTTCTCCGCGAGTCCATCACGTGCACCTGAACTCCGTAAAATCCTACATTTTTGGTAACTTTGTTCGTAAATTGTAAGTTATAATAAATAATTTGTTTGTATTAATAATAATTTAGATCAATCTTTATTTATTTGTAATATTAAGATCCTAATACCATTCGTGCTCCCGAGCTACGGTAAAAATATATTCAAAAGAATTAATTTCTTCCCTGAATATCTTATATTTAATGGGTCATCTCCGACCACGTTACAGTATTATCATCGAATGTACTTAGTAATATCATATTCTCGCTGACCGTGTTTACTAAGAACAGTTTTGCTTATACAATTATGATATATCATTGAATACAAATTTAACACAATCCATTACAGTGACCCACTTAACCAACTATTCAGCAGAGTGACAGCCACTTGCTCACCTTTTTAAATTTAATAGTAAATCCTAGTTACACCAAAATTATTTTTGTACAAACATATATTTTATTTCTTTTTCAAATAAAATAGAATTTAAATTTCATACTCACTAAATAATATTTTCATGTATTTTTGTTTATATTCGTCCATGCCTAATTAACAATATATTGAATCATTAATTTATCATAAAACACTTTATAAAAAAATATATTACTATATAAATACATAAATTAATAAGAAATTAATGACTGGAAAAAAATGTAAATGTTAAAGTAAAACATTAATACAGATTTCTTATATTCCCATATTTTCTTGATAAAGTTTAGGAGATGACAGTACCACACCCCCTCCCACATGGCCGTAACCCGAAAAACGACAGAGATACCGCAAATCCGTCCGGACCTTGAAATATGAGGAGATAACCTAGTGATTAAAAAAGTATAAAAGGCTATCGTGATGAAACCGGGAAACGAGGATGATTTCATTTGGATACCACTTTAATCAAAGGACATGATAATGGATGATAAAATCCCAGAGTAAAAAATAACTGTTCTCTTTAGGACAATAGATTATATGGTGCCCCCACGGGCACCTGATTAGTCCACTACGCTATAACTGAACGGAGGTTACGATTAGACGCTACTTATTTGAGTGTGCCTAATTGGACTGTTTCTTCCATCATTATATTGAAATTTTTATAACATAATCCTTTTATAATGTAATAATATTTGAGGAGGTCATAATCACTGAACCTCTAAGTCCGACGACATAACAAATTCCCCAATTGTATTTAACACAGAATAACTTTTATAGAAATAAAGGAACAATTTATAATATGCAGCTTAAAACCATCGTGTTCATACTTTTAACGAATACTATCATAGCATGTTCCGATTCAAGTTATTTAAAATCATACTAAAATCATAATAATAAAAACTGTAGCTTTGTACAAAATGAGTAGTCCATTTTATCATGAACAATAACTAGGATTATAAAATCAAAATATCGTCACAACATTAAATAATAACTTAGAATTTAAAGTTTGTATTTACTAACATGGTCTCATTACGTCCAAAGGATCCAAAACAGTCAATTCAGAGTCCACAGCTGTAATATAAAAATTGCACAAATAATAATAAATAATTAAATACATTATAGTTGTTCACGCGTGAACAATTATGTGCTGCGCTCTAGCAGTAATCCCGGCACCTATGCTCCTCAACCACTGGACTGTATCTGTAATCTATTTTGTTTTTTCTGTTTGTAATGTTGTTATAGTAAGTAAGTTAATGTTAGTAGGTACTAGTTTTTTCTTTTTACCTTGTAAGAAATTATTAAGTCTGATGTAGTTAAGTTTATTTTGTTTCTTATTGAGTTATAAATTGTTGTGTCAACAGCACAACACGCACAACAGTGTTGCGTTTTGTTACTGTTTAACTTGTATGATAATCGCTATTAGAAGTGTATATTTCATATTGTTAATTAGTTTTGTTTTAGTTAATTCTATCAACAGAGATAGTTGTATTAGTGAATTATATAATTTAAAATGTTACACAAAAGTCAAAATGTGATGTAACTAGCATATTATACCTTAATACTGTAGTATATATTATTATAATTCTACTGTATTGCTGTTAGCAGTAAGTTTTATAGGCAAGTGTCAATAATAATAGTGTGTAACTGGCCAGTTCCTGTACTACACGATACTGTAAGTTTTTGTCATATTAATATACTATTATATATTTTGTTACCACCTAGTATTATTTTGATATTTAGCCACATCAACTCTGTCATCTGTCTTACACACCCTCTTGTTCACTGCAGGCAAATCCTCCGTTTACAAGCAAGGTTGTGTGTAAGCAGAGTCCTATATAATACAGTCCATTTCTTGTAGAACTCTAGGTGTCGGGGAACCCATCATACAGTTTGAAGGTCCTCGCCCGTACATTTGGTCCTTCGAGCCGGATTTGGTCCTTCGAACCGGATATGAGTATAAGTTGTTAGAAATCATTTTATTAAAATATTAATAGATATTTAGTACCTGTTCAGAAGGTGGACGGTACTGAATTTATCAGTAAATGGGATATATTCATAACAGTTGTGAATGATTTGGTTATTTATTTTTATTACTTAAAATTTATTAAGAATTAGTAAAGAAAATGTCGACTCACAGTAAAGAAGACCTGACAGAAATTTCAAACACTGATCTAGTAGCAACTCTAGTTAGGCGTAGAGGGCAAATAAAAGCATCACTCATCATTCATCAATCACGGATTCTGACTGTTCTGACTTTCCGCTCATCCGCAAGGTACTGTTGTTTCACAAATATTAAGATGATATGATATGTTTTGGTGATAATTTTGAAAATACCGTCTTTGGCTGAGCTGGCTTGGAACTTAAGAAATGGTCCAGCAATAATTTGTCTATTCCGAATAATGTGTCTCCGGAGGACAAATTCAGCGATGAGAGTGACGGTGTAAAGGTCTTGGGTCTCCACTAAAGTCCACTCGATGATTCATTTGTTAATAGATTTCAGGATATGAAGTTGGTGGCCTTGAAAAGGGGGATGCTATTCCTAATAGCCCAAATTGTTGATCCTTTGGGCCTCTCATCACCTCTCATGTTTTCTTTGCTAAACATTTAATGAAACTAAAGTCTCATGGGATGTAAAACTACATATTTCCGTCAGTGAAGTTTAGCACCAATCGGCGTCAGAGTTGCGGGAATTACAATATGTATTTCTTTGATATGTATTCTACTCTATGTATTTCCACTCTGCAGATTCATCTGGTTCCCCTTTCATGTCCAAAATAAAACTTACCCTCGATTAGAACTATGTGGCTCAGTCCTGATAGGAAATTGGATGTCTCGTATCAGGGGGACACTAAGGGAGGAGTTGGAAGTCATTGAAACTAACGCTTGGGTAGACACCACAATCGCCTTCAATTGGTTGGTAGTGCGCCATATGATCTTCAAGGTTTTGTGTCAAATAGGATCCATCAAGTACAATTCTTGTTGCAGGAACTTCAGTGGCATCATATACCGTCGGAAAATAATCCAGCCGTTTGTGTCTCTAGAGGATTGTTATCATCTGAAATAGTGGACTTTTACTGTTTTGGAATGATTCCACTTTTTTCAAGTCTACAACAGCTGAATGGACTGTTCGTGTTCCGTCTATTGAACCAGATCAGCTCCCTGAGGCCAAAGTGGAAAACCCTTCAGTTTTAATTGCCGAAACCTAATCGGAATGGTACTCTAGTATCTCGTCATATGTTCACATGATCCAGGTTGTCACTCATATCCATCTTTTTATGGCCCACTGTTGTCACATAAAGCAAGCCTTCGAGTGTTATCTCACGAGTGGTGAGCTCGATTCGGTGTCTTTGTCAATTGTATGGTTTTCTAAACGGACTTTCTTTGGAAAACTTCATCATGAATTGAATTTTCTGAAAACAATATCGGTTTAGTATGTTTCCCGACTCCGTCCATATCTTGTTGATAATGGTATAATCCGTGTTGGTAATCGACTATTCAACTCTGAACTTTCGAGTGAACACACGACATCCAGTCTTGTTTTCAAAATCGTCCCATTTATCACTTCTTTTAGTCGGTCATTGGCATGATCTTTCCAGCCACAGTGGCTCCCGAGTCATGACAGCACTCCTGTTACCTAAATATTGGATTATGTCACTAGGCACTCTTATTCGTACAGTCATCAGGCTGTCAGCCTATAATACTCAACCAGCCATGGGCGATTTGCCACGATCCCACTTAACCGAATGTCACCCTTTCGCCCGTGTATGGATCGATTATGCGGGGCCGTTGCAGATGAAAGGACATCGCCTCCAGAAGTATAAGGTATATGTGGTGGGATTTGTATGCATTGTCGTCAAGGCGGTACAACTCGAGGTCGGATCTGACCTGTAAACCGATAGTTTTATTGCCACTTTAAATCGATTCGTAGCTCATCGCGGCCTTTCCGTCGACATTTATTCGGACTGTGGAACTAATTTCTTCGACTCTGCAGCTCAACTTGAGCTGGTTAATCATCCTGAAAACCAATTTCAACCTTATGGAACAATCTGTTTGGAACTTTAACCCAACGACGGCCTGTGGGAAGCGGCAGTTAAGTCGACACACGCTTACACCTGAATAATAAACACCACATTGTGCCGTGTGGAGTCCACATTAAATTATTATCCTCTCATCACCAGTTCCACTGATTTGAAGTTTGTAGTATTCCACCTATGGTAGATTAATATAATCAAACTATACAAAATCCTATCTGTGCGGAGCGCAACCTGATTGTGGCAGCCGTGCAAATCGACGGCACAGATGTGGCGGTCATTTATACCCAGCGCTTGAACTGTGCAGCTGGCTCAGGGTAATTGCCGTATGATAGTAGTGGACTGGAAGGCGGAAAAGATAATAGGAAAATAGTTGACGGTAAAATTATAGTTGTTTTAGTGTGGCAATATTATAAAAATTTTATTGTAATGGTTCGGTAGAAAATAATTCTTATGTGCTAGTGTTAGTAAAATATGAGCGCGTTTACAATAAGAACGGAAAAAAAATTAAATTACATAAAAATATAAATCATAATACCACGTCTGGTAACTTAAGAAGGTAAACAAATTAATCATCTCTATACGACCTGATAGTGACGAAATTAATAGCATTTGTTGACAAAAAATGGTGCTGCCGTTGTCCTGGCACGACGATAATGGGTAGATGGACGTTGACCGGGCTGCGACAATACACCACAACGTTGACTTTTACGAAAACATCCGAATGACACGGCGGATCGCACTGCGCACACACCGGATGGGTGAAAACGGCAGATTACGGTGGTTATGGCACGGGCGGCCAGAACACGTTTTTTGTGTCTGCAACGAGGAGCACGACACAGTTAGCTCAGATGGCTAGAACGAACGGAAAGCCAAGATGGCGTTATTGACGACGACGGCGCGCTGGTTAGCGAAATTAACACAAAAACTGCGATGTTTGTAAATGCAGCTGAGAAAATGTGACAGAAATGGCGACTTCGCGACTGAACGCACTGTGCCGGAAGAGACCGTCCGCGGAACACCGATAACGCATCCCTCTCCAGAGATATCGGAACGGTCGCGCTGTGTTTGTGGTAATGACGATAAATTGGGGCAAAGTCCAAAACCTGGCATACGTACCGAACACTATCAGTACTAAAATCTGATGAATAAAAAAAAAAAAACAAATTTAGCCCTTTGTAAATTAAAAGATCTTCTTCCTAGAGGTCTATCTACCCACAGATATTAATTTAAATATATATATATATATATATCTAACTATATAAATACACAGACTATAACTATAAGGCTCAGCTCTGGAACAACTATATATATATATATATATATATGAATATTGACAAAAGATAATAATACAAATAAACAAAAATGCCCGATTATTATATTAATAAATTATTATTGTAATAGCTTAAAAACCCATGTCAACCATTTATAAACAAAAATTCTCAAAATTCAAGTTTGATCACCTCTTGGGGTTGGTCCTCTCTCCTTTTAAAATTAGCCTATCTTTTAAGTTCGAGCAAATTACATACAGTGTAAAAAATTTCATCGAGATCGGTCCAGTAGTTTCGGAATTGATCCCGAACAAACATTGTGACACGAGATTTTTATATATATAAGATTGCGGTGTGTGCATTTTTAATTGTTTTGACGTCTTGCCTCGCTGATCAGTTACGCAATCATCGACCCTTATTGTCAGCTGGTTGAAGTTGTTCCAATCGTCATCGTGATAACCGGGAGTACTATCACTCATCTCATATCACTTTGGTATTCATAATATCTTAACATAGTATAAAACAAATTCCTGATGTCTGTCTGTATGCTTAGATCTTTAAAACTACGCAACAGATTTTGATGCGGTTTTCTTAATTGATGGAGTGATTCAAGAGGAAAGTTTAGATTCACAATTGGATCCGGTAGGTTCAATCCAAGGAGTTGCTCAAACAGGAATTTTGAGATATTATATGATGGTTATTTTTGTTTATGAAAGGTTGCTAGTGGTCATAAGATAAATAATTAGTAGAAATTAGTATTTATTATTTTATTGTGATACGCTGCGTTATGTTATGTTCCCAACCGTCTTTTATAGAATGAATTTTACTTGGTTTTAGGTATCACGTCATATTCTTTTTTTGCATGTATTTATATATTATTTACATATATGAGGCGAGTGAGATTCACGGATACTTTAGCCAGTCTTACACAAGCACGCTGAAGCGGTGAGAGCTCGTTTTTCGACCCCGATGTTAATCGTTTGGTCCTGATCGTAGGCGGCTTGCGGTCGTCGGTGTGGATGATAGCTTCTTTATGGTGTATTGCATTTCATCAATAGAGAAAAAACGCTCTTGGTGTAAGGTAATTTAAAATGTTCTTCAATGGCGTTCTTTACTAATTCATCAATCTGAGTCTTGTTTTCTGGTGTTTGGAATTGTTTTTTCATTGAATTATCGAATATTTCTGATTTGGCGACTGCCTCATAGTGTAGAATATTTTGACTGTCCGAAAGTGGATGTAAAGATGGTCGTTTGTGCATGAGTTTCTTATTTAGTTTATAGATCTTTGTCCAGCCTTCACTTGTGAGAGTCGATGTTGCTCAGAAAGTTGACCCATTCGTTGTCCTTGTGTGAATGTATTAGGTCATGGACTATTGCTGTTTGTCTGTTGAGTAGCGTCTTCACATCTGGATGTCTTGTATGTTGACAGTTTTTTTTCAGTTTACGTTTTTTGTGGATTCCGTTTGGGATGTTAATGGGCAGGTTGCGGGTTTGATCTTTTGGATTGGTAACATGGGTGTTACTGCTTACGGGGACAGCTATTTTTGTTGTGAGTTCAGTGATGGTTTGGTCAACGTGTTCTGAAGCTTGCATTTTCTTGAGAGCAAAGCTTATGTTTTTAGTATCAAGATTGAGTTTGGTCCAATTTGTATGTTTAAAAATTTTTTGTGGTAGGGTTTGAGTGCCTTGGGCTTGTAGTTCAATAATGATAGGGGTGTGATCAGAAGAAAGTTTGGCTATGAGATTTTCTATTTTATACCTTAGTTTCTCTGTTTTGAGAATAGCTACGTCTAGTATATCAGTATTGTGGTTTGGGTTGTCAAGATAGTGAGTGGGTGAAGTCGGGGCAGCTATAGTTATGTATCGTCTCATGTCTGAGAATTTAGCGAGCGTGCTTTCTGCTGTGCATTTAAGTCACCAGCTATGACGACGTAGTAGGAGGTATTAAGCAGAGAGTCGAGGTCCAAAGTAAGTAATGGAGTATCAGGTTTTTTTTGTAGATCGCTGATAATCTTAATTCTTTGTTGCCTATTTGAATTTGAAATAAGGTGCGTTCTATTGGTTCTGGTCTATTTTTCTGGTTTAATTTTTCGATTAAGAAATAAGGCTCTGCCTCCCCATGAATGATGTCCTAGCCATTGGGGACGATTAGTGATGTATGAGTATTAGTTTGGAAAATTTAATTGTTGGGAGTTGTTAAGACGCGTTTCATTGAGTAGAATAATGTTGTTATTTTTCCTTTGAACTAATTCAAGGAGTCCAAAGCGTTTTTCGGAGACGCTCCCTTAGTTTCAGTGTAGGATACGGAGATTGTTAGACATTTTGGATAATCCTGAGCATGGCCGAGAGGGCTGACAGGATGGTTTCTTGATATCTGTGGATGTGGATATTTTTTGTATCGTATCTATAATAAGCTTGGTGAGCGAATATTTGGATTAGTTGAAGCATAAGAGGAGGTTGAGCTTCTGGGTTCCTTAACTGATGGTGTAGAATTTGCCGTGATATTTGGGGACTTTAATTTAGCCGCAGTGTTGTTTGTTTTGGATTTGAGGGTCATTTGTGCTGAGAAAACATAGAATTGTCTTGTAACGGGGTTGGGGAACCTGTTATATTTAGATAATTCAGTGAGGGTTTTCAGAGCCCTATATTTTAACCATAACACGGGAGCTTCAGGAAAGATAGATTAAATATTAAATTCTTGTTGATATGTTTTTATTATTACACAATAATTATTAAATACATACACATTAATCATTAAATAATAAATACATACACAATCATCATTAAATACATACACAATACTCATGAAATACCTAACAATGCTTATTACATACACAATACTTATTAACTACAGAAATATCGAATGACTTACTCATAGTATCGTCCTCCAGAGTTCATTGGGTAGCGGGTACATGTACTGGTCCCAGAACTAACTAACTTAAGGTTACGTTATAGTGTCATTTGTTGCCTCCGTCTTACAAGTGTAATATACCAAATTTTACAATCAGCAGAACAAGTTTATCTCCCGTTAATTTAAAAATTATAGCGAATTAATCTCTTATAAAATTTAATGGTAAGATTATTATCTAGACAATGACATTATCTTTTTATTATACTTTAATTTTAAAGCGAGTTATGTGTATTTTAAAATGGTTAACTGTTTGTACATCTTAAAATACTCATAACTCCCTTTAAAATTAAAATATAATTAAAAGCCTGTGTCATTGTCTAGAATCTAGACAATGATATATCCGCGTGTGGTTTATCCGCGCATTGTTGGTGTGTTATATTGTCTCAAGCTTCGCATGATTTCGTTGTCGCGGCATCCGACGTGAGTGTGTTTTCAACGCCGTTGTCGTCGTACCGATTGTCGTCGACCGGTTGTCCGTTGTGCGACCGTTCCTCGCCGTTGTGTGTTAGTCGCCGATATTCGCGCACATTATTTCGGTTCAGCTCACCAATTATTGTCGGCTGATCTCGAAGGGCCACAATTCGTACCGCGGCCGGTAAACCGCATATCGTGCTGCACCGTCGATATTATTATTGTGTGCCGTGTGCGTATACCCCTCGTGCGACGCTGCTGTTAATGCCGGTATGACGTAAAGTGCGAATTACGTAATCCGGTCATCTGCCATCGTCCGGAGCCACCGCCGATAAACCTCCGAATCAATACACCTCCGCACCGCGGCGCGGAGCCTGAATCACATATTACTATCATTGTTATTATTGTAACTAACAATATTATTATTTATTATTATTTTACGTTGTGCTCGGGAAGAGACGTTTTCCCGGCCAACATATGCACATTTGTCGTGCCTTATAATATATTGCTGTCTTTTACCTACGACGTATTACTATTTTATTTATACTGGTCACCTATCCCGTCCAACGCTGAACACCATTTTCTTTGACTCAAGGGTCTGCCCGGCCAAATGCTGAGTTAATAGCTGGCATCCCGAACACCCCTCTTCCATCTGAGTATGGTCTGTTTCCACTAAGAGTTGACCTCATCTTCATCATTCTTAGTCTCCGATGTTTTTTTCTTACGATACTTTGGCTGACATTTCGTCAGATACCCCTAACCATAATGATCCTGGTTAAGTATATTGGTAACTCACGGTTATTCTCTACCATATTTACCTCAGCAATGAATTTACTGCCCATTGTGATTATTAATATATAATTTCTATCATCTACAAAATCAAATTAGGCTTGAATAGATTAACGCAAATCGGGATATCGCTAACTGAGATGTACTTAGCAATCTATAAATAGCATAAACCAAGTTTAGCTCTGTAGGTATATCATTTTGCAGATTTTGTGAGATCTTCCACCATAGATTATATTCGTTAAAAATAGTTTAGGTATAAATGTATAATAATACCGCTTGGGAAATTTGTGGCAAATAATACAAAGTATTATTAATTATTAGTATTTGATATTTTGGTCACGACTGTCAATACGTTATTCAGTTCTGCTGAGACTATGTCTAAATTTATTATTTTATATTACTATAGGCTATATTTGGATTTATTTTATATACAAATAAAGTAATAAATCTATATTAGGTAAAATAAATAATTTAGTATTAGGCGATTAGGTCTTTAATCAAAATCAAATAAGGATTTCATTAGATTTTATTTTTAAGAAAATGATTATTGAATTACAACTAACTAAAGAATCGAACTCGCCACAAGAAATACATATAAAATGATATATCACATGAAGAGTTTGTAAAAATGAAATTATTCGGGTTTCGGGTTAACCCGAATGATTTATTCGGGTTTTGGTTAATACGGGTGTTTTGAAAATAGAATCATTCGGGTTATATGGGTTTTGGGTGAATTTTTAAGGGTGTTTAGGGGTGTTAGGGGTTCGGGTTAATTCGGGTGCAAAGCCCTGCCTATATTACTATTACAGTATTACCTATATTTAACAATATAATATATTAATATATTATCACAATATCAGTAATATCTACTGTCGCGACGTGCGATTATTCTAGAATCGAGCACACAATCACATGACGACTGAGAACTGTTATTTATGAAATATTTCATTTATAGATTTGATTCAAATTTTGAATCTTTAGACATGAAATTAGCTGCAATTTTAGAACCAAAGTTTAAGTGGAATTTAGCTGAAGTAGAAACAGTTAATGAGCTAAAAGATTGTTTAAAAGCAAGATTGTCTGAGCTTATTGTACAGAACACTGACCGTATTTTAAATGATGATACCAATGAAATCACATATAATGATTTTTTACATTTTGATGCTATAGAAAATCCAGAAACAGATAAACTTAAAAATGTATTTAATGATTATTCAAACTCTTCTCCTAAACTACCATTAACTGTATTTTCTGAAGAAATACAAAAATTGTATATTCAATATAATACAAGTATTCCCTCTAGTGCTCACGTCGAGAGACTTTTTAGTGCAGGAGGCCAATTATTTGATGAAAGGCGTGGGTCTATGTCTGATCATAACTTCGAGATGACACTTTTGTTAAAATTTAACAAATATTTTGAATAAATATAGATAATATTATGACTATTATAGTATTATGTATTATTATTTAATATTTATATTTTATGTTGTTATACTGTTGTATATTTTTTTTATTTTGTTTCCCCATTTATGTTCTAATAACCGATATTCCAATTAATTTCTAAAAAATTGAAATTATTTGTTACCTAATTAGAACATTTGATTAATTATTAGGTGTTTAATTAAATTTTTCAGCTTTCATGAATAATCCAAGTTAGATAACTTATTATTTACATTTGAACAAAAAAGTTTTTTAATCTATAAAAAAAAAAACTAACTTCTAACTTCTAGTCTAACTTTAGTTACTATTTTCATCAAACTAACTTCTAACTAACTAAGTTAGAAATTTGGACAGTTTCAGAAACTAACTTATATTCTAACTTAGTTAGTTTTTTTATTAAAGTAACTTAACTTCAACTAGTTGAAAAAAATGACTAACTTGCCCAGCTTTGCATACATCGTAGTAATAACGCGCATTGAACCACTAACAACAAAAACCACTCTAAAGACATCCAGATAGACGAGCACATTGCTGCAAAGGTGGGCATTAACTTGTTAAAAAGTTAAAGTTAAGTTAAAAAGTTAATTTTTTTTTAACTTTTTAACTTAACTAGTTAATTATTTTTGTTTTTAACTTATTAACTTATTCAGTTAAAATGTTTATTGTTGTAACTTAACTTTTTATAGTTAATTATCATTGTCATTTAGTTAAGTTAATTTAATTTTTGAGTCATGCGTAATCAACTAGGCCAGTGGTGGCAAAACTACGGCCCGCGGGCCAACTCCGGCCCGCCATCATTTAATATCTGGCCCGCGAAAGAAGTACCTATAATATTTTACATTTACGTAAAAAAAAAAAATTTAAATATATACAGTATACATTCTTCATATTTAATCCCGTATCGCCATATCGTAGCGTTTTTGTTGTTACAATGTAATTTAATAGTATAAATATCATTACCGTATCTTATCTTATTTTCATACGATCACCATGGCTGTAGAAACTACAATACTACAATTATATTAGTAGTATAGCAATATATAGTAATACAACATATAGTAATATTACTGTTATCGTTGCTCGACCAATTTTATCTACATTGCAGTAGTTTCTACAGCCATCGTGATCAGTCGTTATTCGTCTGCGGTCAGGACTAATATAAAGTTAATGTAATATTACGTTGTGTATTGTAAAAGTTCATTATGTCTAACAAAAAACGGAAAATTGACTCGGAATGTCGTGTTTTCAAAAATCAGTGGGAAGACGATTACTTTTGTATAGTTACTTTTGTATATTAATTTGTAGTAATTATTAAGTTAAGTATTAAATAAAGTCATTAAAATTATTAAGTACAATAAAAACGTCGTTAATTATAAAATTATATACCTATACCTAAAATTCTGATGACTTAAAAGTAAAAAAAAATTTTATGGCCCGCGGTCAAAAAAATTTTTTTTTATGGCCCGAGTTAAAAAAAGGTTGGCCACCACTGAACTAGGCAATACCGATTGGTCGACTTTTTTACGATTTTAGTAATTTATTTTCGAATTATGTATTATAATAATTTAATTTTTTACACAGTGTTAAATATCTTGGTAAATGTTTTTGTATAACAAAATACTATGGTAGTATATGACTTAAAAATATTGTACCTTCAAAAAAATTAACTTTTTTTTAACTGAGATAAGTTAATTTTATTTTCTCTCTTAACTTTAAACTTATCTAGTTAATTTTTTTTCCTTGTTAACTTTTAACTTAACTGAAGGCAATTTAAATGAATTAACTTAACTTTCCACAGTTAATTATTTTCATTAACTTGCCCACCATTGCATTGCTGCAGCAGTCGAGGTAAGTGACACCATACTTATCAGTACTTAAGTCAAAACGAAATTCCATTACAATTCGATTACAAACTATATTAATATCTTGTAGTGGTGTTAAATCATTTACACATATACCCCAACTATTTTTTCTCTTATTCCAATATCTTAACATAATACGAATTTAGCTTAAAACACTAAAACCACTACCACTTTTCCTCCCTTAATCTTATTATTACTACCTTATTACCCTTATCCTTTTCTTTTTAACTTTATTTTATTCTACTACAATTATAAATGTGTTGAAGACATCATAAGGGCGAGTCGCAAGGTGACTGATTTCTGTGTGTCAGTACTCATCGCATATTTATCACTTAACTAGAGGTGATATAAATTGCCCTTGATAACAGTTGTACCAATCGTGTGCGTGAATACATGATATTAATTGTGAGCATGTGTATTTGCACATATTTCCCTTAGTTATGTTGGTTTCAGATATTTAGCTAGTCGCTCTATCCATAATATATGACCTAAGCCCTAAGGGATGACAGGTAACAAAATATAATAAGAACATGAGTTTAAATTGTTATTAATTTGTTTATTTGACACTTTAAAACTTGTAGTGAAATTGGTTGTGAATATAATAAAGCTTGTGAAAGGTTATGTACTGGGTTTCATAAAGCATGTAGCATGCCTGATTCTAGTCTTCTTAAATTTCTCCTATATAGTGTTTACCATTTCCTAATGATAAGTTTGTCATCCCATTTCTATAGCTTACATGCTTACGGGGTCAAGGAAATAACATTGAACCAGGAGGATAGATTAGGTTATTCTATGTTTATATTATCTTTTTAGTCGTACTATGGACATCCTGTTTAACAGAGCTATCGATAGTATGGATTATAATAATATGTGTTCTAATATATATATATATATACATTAATTATTATTCATCAGTGTATATATTAATATATATTATATGCAAATTATGTGTGGCCCTTTTTTAAAAATAAGTAGGTATGCAGTATTGTATGATAATCCTGCCATTTGATCTTTTGTGTGTTCGTCATGTGATTATGCTACCAGGATGTGTTTAATAAAATAAAATTATAACCGTTGAATTGTGTAAGTCATAACTTAGATCATTTATTAAGTGTATTATTGCTAAACCTTATCCTGTCCATAATCATAATATTGGGTTTTAAATATATATTATTATATTGCTTGTCTCCAGTACATAACAATATAATTAACAACGGACTTGTATACTTTATTCTTTAAACGGTAAGACAAACTGATATCGGTCATGATTTAGTGGTTTGTGTTCCAAATATCAATAATATCAAAACGATCACGAAACCAAATATGGGTGCGTCGAACATAAAATTAGTAATTTCTTGATAATTAGATAAACATTTTTTAATCATGTTTTTTATATATTGGTACAGCCACAAAACTAGTTATGATACTGATGGTTCTCTAATCGTCTTTAATATTATTTAGGTATGTTCTTTATGTATGTATGGAAAAGGTTTAAATACATTAACAAATGTGTAGATTATAATATAGAATAACTAGTTTAGTGACCAAACATGGTGTCCGAACAACTGAATGAGTAGAATACGAATGTCAAGAGGGTATTTGTTTGAATATTAAAGATTTTAGTTTAGGCTTACATGGACAATGTGTATTCAGAATTCTAAACACAAAGAGATGGGCTAGGATTCATTAATCCCTTTATTAATCCCTATATTAAGATTGTAGTCATTATGCGTCCCTTCTACTTTTGATACGTTATGGGAGTGGGACATATTTGTAATATTTTATTTTTTTATTTGCCACGATGTTGCTTAATCTCTGCCGTTTGGTAGAGTGTTGTCCATAGTTGACGTGTACCTATGAATCGTAGTGCGTTATTCTACACCGCATATGGTCACATAAGAATTAGCTATTGTGTGTATTTATTTAGATATATTGTAAACATATTTTTTATTACAGTAGATTTAATAATAATAGATAATATTATGTTTACAGTATGAGATACAACTGAAATACATTTTGAAACAATATTTGTGAATTGTAATATATATCATTACAAAATAAATAAAATATAAATATAAATAAATATAATAATAAATTAACGGTTAATATTCTTCTTTTTATCCTGAAATATATGTTCTGAACCATCCGATTCCAGAAGCAGTGTTTATCTTTACCTAATATAATGTAAAGTACTTATTAAAATTTTAAATCTTTAATATATTACAGTATATTAATTATAATATAAGTAATGTAAAACTAACACTGAAAAAAAATAATTTACAAAGAATAAAGATACTATTTAGTATTTTTGATTGAAAAACAGAAAAACACAAATTATTCTAAAACTATCATTCAACAGACTTAATAATGTTGCACAGAAAGTATTAATACACGTTAAAGAACGGAGAACAGAATATAGGATTATAGGAAAACCATAAATGCCCGATTGCTTTATTAATATATTATTATTATTAATATATTTTAGATTCTGAGTGGAACGATGAATGTATTGATTTTACAATGATGTGTGTTTTTTTTTTTTTTTTTTTTTATTTTTTTTTTTTTTAATTTTTAATTTTTTTTGTGTCTGTCATCACGTTTTAGGACGTAAAAGTGCTTGGATTTTCTTCAACAGTAGCTTTTCTGATAGGAAAGTGAATCTAGTTGGTACTTTGGGGGGTCAAAAATGAAAATTTCTCAGTAGTTTTCAAAACTGACGTGAAAAACGAAATAAAAATTAAGGAAAAACGGGAATATTTCCACTAAAGTCTGTTTTCGAAAAAATCGATTTTGGTTTTTGGTGTAACTCTTAAACAAATGAGCGTAGGTACATGAAATGTTGACTGAATGTTTATATTAGAAATTTCAAAACTCGATAACATTTTCAAAATGTTTTGATTTATTTGGAACTCTTTAGACACATATACATTTTCAATTTTTTTTAGTTTCTTTTCTAAAAATATCAATGAAATTTTATTTGTTTGTTAAAAAAGCTTGAAAATGTAATACAAGGCTCCTACTATATTGTTACAATGGCATTTGAAAAATATTAAAAATCCTTAGGCACAGTTTCTTTTTATAAGCATTTAAAGTTCAAAAATTGACAAAAATCAAGAAAAATCAAGAAAATTAGCAAATCAATTTGAGTTAAGAATTCGTAAACATTTTTTTTTTAAATCTAAGGTTTTAAAATGTAATACAAGATTCCTTATGGCTTATACTATTATCTACCTTTATAAAAAAAAAAAATGTCTATAAGAAAGTCAAATTAAATTTTTATGAGCGTTTGAAATTCAAATTTTTACAACATTGGATATTCACTCAATTTCTCATGTAGCGATTTCCTTATTTTGTTATAATTCAAAAACGAAAAACTGAAGATACATGAAATTTTCACTGAATATTTATATTAGCATTTCCTAAACACCATTCACAACCGTATTGTTTATATTTGTATTTTCTTTGCCTTTAAAAATCTAAAATATATATATATGTTCCTAAAGTTAATTTATGGTAAAGCATAATTACATTTATTTATTGTATAACGTGTTAAAATGTATTACCTCATCACTCGGAATTTTATTCACAACCTCATTGTTTATATTTGTATTATCTTCGCCTTTAAGTATCTAAAAGAAATATATATGTTCCTAAAATTAATTTATGGTAAAGCATAATTACATTTATTTATTGTATAACGTGTTCAAATGTATTACCTCGTCATTCGGCATGGTCTTCACAGTATGCTGTAATATTATACAAATGTCCAACAAAGTGTACTCATATTATTGTTACTTTTTATTTATTTTATTATAAAATCCCGCGGATCTTATACGCGTTATTAGCGTTTTATTATATAAGATTATTTAACCATATAAGTCTAACTCATATGTCTCCAACCTACGGCCCTCGGGCCGAATCAGGCCAGCTTTGAGTTTTTTGTGACTAGTTAATTAATGTTTTGAAAATAATATATTTATTATATAGTTTTAATTTTTTAATTTAATTAATTAATTAAATAAAATGAATTTATTATTTTTTTCTTTTGGTGTTATTCGTAACAACTTATAATAGTAATTTATACCTATATACTAAGTTCTAACATTAACTTATAATTAGGGTTCGGCTTTAAGGCAATATAATCAGTAAAAAATCATTCAAAATGTCAAAAAAGCATATAATTTATATAAAAAGCAATTACAAAAAAAATTTTCTAAAAAATTAAATAGAATGTATATTTAACTAGTGTGTATGAAAAAAAAAATCACTATCACGTACTTAGATAAACTGTCTTTAGTAAAACGTTGAAGGTTTGGTCTTAAAATATTAGAAAATGTAATCAGGGTGGTCTGCCAAGCAATTTTGAATCTATAATAAGTATATACGCATTATGAACATATTTTAACCTATAGATAGGTATCATGGGTACTTATATAAACTTTAAATTAACTAACCATACCAAATACTCGATAAATATCGGTAAATATCGCCGTTAATAAAACCCATTAAAAATAATTAACAGTCGACAAAGCAGTCTTCAGTAAATCGTATCGATTTGTTCAGTTTATACGTATGTTGTGTATAAAACTATTTAATCAATTGAAAATTAAACACAATTAAGGAATTTAATAAAAAAGGTATTTATCAGTAAAAAAGGCAAAAAAAATACGGTCATCATCTTACATATTAAATGACACGCATTGTTATATATAAATTATTTCTCTATTATTACTATTAAAAAAAAGGCCTTTGCCTTCAAATCCGAACCTTACTTATAATATAAAAACTCGTTATAAAATAAAACAAGTACATAAACAAACATTCATTTTTCTAAATAAATCTTCTCGACTCTTCAATTTCTTAACCGATCTATTCCTCTAAAAATGTTGGCCCTCGATATCAAAGAGTATCTCAATTTTGGCCCTCCATAAAAAAAGATTGGAGACCCCTGACTCTAACTTAAAAGAATTATCATCAATGATCTTGTCACCATTATATAAAAGTATTCACCAGATGTTATATTAAGAAGTTTTACCAACAAATTGGTAGTTTTTTGAAATTTATGAATATAATATTCTAAAGATTATAAAGATGAATACATATTATTATTTTTATTTACCTTTTCAATTTCATGTCTATTAGCTATCATCAAATACATACTAAAAAGTTCATGAGCTTCCATATTTCTAGTTCGATCCTAAAATTAATAAATAAAATAATGAATAAAAATAGTGATATTTAGAACTAAGAAAAACACAAAGTAGTATATTATTAGTAACAGAAATTTTCACATCCATTATAAGTGTATCAGTGTATAGATGGATCAAGATTTTGGTTGCAGCGCTGGTCCTGAATGAACCATTAAGTTGATGAAGAAGAAGAAGATTTATTGAACAAATAATTAAATTTTGTTTATTGATTATTAATCCATATTTGAATTTTAAATTACCATTGTTTTCCAAATCAACAGAATATTTAATGATAACATTTTCACAATCACTTGGATGGAATTACATTTTTTTTTAAATTGTTAAACCTTAAAAATTTTTATTTGAACAATTCCCATATTGTCAAATAGACCTCTATGATTCTAAGCTCTTAGCCCACGATAAACAATAGAAATATAATATTAATCAATTTTAATTTTGTTTGAAACCGTAAGGATTTCTAAAACCCGTTGTAAATTAGGTATGAAAACAAATATAAATATTAAAATTGGTTTACCTCACTAGTAATGACTATTTCATTAATAGCACAGTTTAAATATCGGTACATTTGTTCATAATCATTTTTAACCGAATCCATAACATATAATCTATAAAGTAGAATATTTATTTCTATCTTATTAATATATGGACATTTTGAATTATTTCTCAGAAAATTTAGGTCTTCCAACATTTTTGATTTTTCTCCCTTCTCCGATGTGTCTAATATTTTCGACGTTTCTGTTTTTAAATTACTAAAATACCAACCACCAAGCCAACTATTAACTTCCCAACTGTTATTCGCTAAGAGGATCTGAAAATAAAAATGTTTCAATAAATTATATTCCTTGATTAATTCCTTTATTGATAATTAATTAATTGTATTTTATCTTAGAATTTTTCATGATTCATTAATTCACTAAATTTTAAGTTATGGTTTTTTTTAATATTTCTAATGACTATATTTTGGGTAGAATAAAACGTTATTTGACAAGAGTCATGGCATGATAATATCTTTTTCATTGATTTCATAGTTATCATACCTAGTGGGACTTAAGAATAATATTTACTAAATTTAAAGACTGGGCGTTTATGAGGTATAAATTTAAGTTAAATTACTTTTATTTGAGTTACATTATATTAAGTTATTTAAAAGTAATTTGTAACTTAAAAAGTAGAATTATTTTGGTTCTATAGTCTGAGATATTCAGTTACTAATAAGTTAGTTCATTTTATAGTCATGTTAAGATTTTTTTTCTAATACAATCCATCAGATTTCAAACAATTTTTGTATTATACAAATAATCCTATTTATAGAGAAAAATAAACTGTGTTAATATTGTATTTGTGTGTACTAATATTTTAAATACGAAATTGTATACCAGTGAAAGGGTTAATAAACCTACCTATACTATTATAAAAAAAAATATAATAAATGCAATGTTTTGGAAAAAAATGAATTTAACTGTATTATTAATAGTAAATTAATTATTAAATTACTATTATAGCAGTATAAAAATATCATAAAATATATTTGTAATATTGGTTGAACGGCATAGTCATCACTCAGAATCGTCTTTCGCGTGTAATAAATTATCATTAAATTAAAAATTGACGCATACATTACAGTGAATTATAGTGACCTGGTACACTTTGCACCAACTATACAGAAGGACTTTTACTTACTGAATCCATTTTTTATTTTATTTTACTTTTCCCAAAACTTAATTAAAAGAAAACTTTTTTTTGAAAATGACAAAACTTAATTTACAAGGTTTGATATTAACATAACTTAAAGACATAAATTAATTTGTGTAAATTATAAGTAATGTTAGTAATTACTTTGGCATCCTGTTTATTTTTTAGATATTTTAAGTGGTCATCATTTCCATTAATTTTTTCTGCTAATAATATATATTTATTTAATCTTTTTTGATACTTTGTTAAATGATTTGAATTATCACAAAGTACCCCATACAATTCAGCTAACCACTTATAAGCTATAAAAACGTTTGTCATTTCTTGATGATTCGTTGAATATGTTAAATTGGATAATAATTCCACCATTTTCTCAGTATAATTTTCTTCAATGAAGTCATCTGTATCATCATCTTCGAATTCACTTTTACTATCTGTTTCTGTTTTATTATTTTCTTTTTTATCCACTAAAACTTTGACGAAATATTCCAGAACCTCAATTGCTTTGAAATAAAAATAAAAATTATGTTGTATTATGTGTCTCATATAATATAAAATTAACATCAATTCTCCGTAATTTAGATAACGTAAAAAATTGTACGTTTAATCATTTTTTAATGTTTTTACAAATTTAAAACACGACTAATAATAAAGTAATAAATATTATATTAAGTACAATAAGTTGAATATAATATACAATTTTTAAATTCAAATAACAATTCTATATAGGGAATACTGTTTAGGGTAGGTATTTTTAGGAAGTTAGAAGTACTGGTATGAATCAAAGCAATGAAGTTTTTATAATCCGGTGTATAAATTTCAAGCTTCTACACAGCTACTTAGCGACTATTTTACTAATTAGGATGCATGAAACTCGATAAAAACCCACAATTTAATGCACAACAATGACAATAAATTATTGGTCAAAAACTTTTGATTACAAACGATAATTAATCATTCAGTGCATAAAAAATATACTATTGTAAATATTTCAAACATTAATATTGTGATGTTGATGGTTTGATTAATATATTATTATTATATAATTCACATAAAATCATCATTTTTTATTTTTGTGATCAAATTTTTGCCATAACTATAAGGCTGAGATTTTGATGCACTTTGCATTATTTTCCAATGTGAGAATTTTATAACATTGGAAAATTTAATTTTATATCATTTACTTTCCATGTATTTTTGAATCAGAATAAGAAGTTTTTTTAATTACATTTTCTGATGATTTTCAATGTTTGGGTTTTTAATTTTTTAGAACATTTTTTTTTCATTTTTACACTTTTTGAACTTGTAATTGTATCTTAAAATGTTATACACTTAATAAACTATTAAGTATGTTCTCATATTATATTTTAATATTATCGGACAATAGTAATGTGAAAGTTAAACACTCACTGGCCAAACCAGTCACGGCCTATTAGTGGTCTAATCTGTTATCGACTTCCGTCGATATTTTTTTATTTTTTATTTTTCAATCCTTAGATTGGTTAAATGACTTTGATGGCTTTCCACTTATCCCTATCCATTACAGCTCCTTTTAATAGCTATTGTTGATATTGTTCAGTACGAATTTTACTGTTCTAACTCTCGTGAATTTATTTTCTATAAAAAACTTTTTTATAACTCATAATGTATTTTGACCCTTGTCAACTTGGCAGCGCAACATTAGCAGACATCAATCCAATTAAATTTTTTGGACGTAATTTTCACCGGGGCCGATTTAGAATTTTGTCCTGACACCAGCAGCTCAACTGTTTGTTGGCACATGTTTTTTGTGCTTCACTTGTTCATCTTAGTTTTTGGACACTGCAACTTTCAAACTTTGTTGGACATTATTTTAACCTGTATAAACATTTCTAGTTTATCTGCCAACTTATTGTTGTGACATGTTTTTGGTGCTACAATTGTTGATCTCCATTTGTTGGACAATAAAAAAGGTTAGTTCAATTAATAAACCCTAGAAAAAAAAAACCAAAAACTAAGCATCTAAAAACCTAAATAGGAGATAAAAAGAGTTGAATCAAAAATTGATATTTAATAAAAAATTGAAAATTGATAAAAGAAGCCTAGTTTAGTTTAAAAAGTACATTAATAGTGAAAAACCTAAAAAGGATATTAAAACAACTGAGTAAAAGTTTTAAAATTAATAAAAAAAAACAGGTTCATGGAAAAATTATATTTAATAAAAAAGGCTAGTTAAATAAAAAAACCCTTGTAGAAAAAAAAATAAATCTTAAGAACCTAAATAAGATAAAAAATCAGTTGTATAAAAAATATATAGGTATTTAATAAAAACTTAGCAGTACAAAATTTAAAATTTTTAACCCTTGAAAATAACTTAAAATAAATTCTGAAAATTGTCCAACAGTGATTTTTATCCTATTTAGGTTTTTTAGATTTTTTTTCTTCTAGAAATTATTAATTTAACTAACCTTTTTTTTTATTGATATTACATTTAATTTAATAAAAATATCTTATTCTGCTGATTTTTTATAATGTTTAGATTTTTTTTATTTTAAGATATTTTTTTAATTTAAATGTGCTTCTTTTCATAATTTCCGAATTTTTATTAAATATCAATTTTTTATTCAACTGTTTTATTTATCTTATTTAGGTTTTTTTATGTTAAGTTTTTTTTTCTACTACGGTTTATTAATTTAACTAACCTTTTTTTATTGAAATTACATTTTTTTCATGTAACTTTTTTTTTATTTCTCTGCTTATTTATCCTTTTTATATTTTTATCCTATTAGGCTTTTTTAGATTCTGAGTGAAACGATGAATGTATTGATTTTACAATGATGTGTGTTTTTTTTTTTTTTATTTTTTTTTTTTTTAATTTTTAATTTTTTTTTTTTTTGTGTCTGTGTACACGATAAGTAGTCGAAATAATGCTTCGATTTTCGACTTCAGTATCTTGTTCGATTGGAAAGTGAATATCGTTGGTGCATTGGGGAGGTCAAAATTTAAAATTCCCAATAGTTTTCACAAGCGCCGGGAAAAACAACATAAAAATTAAGGAAAAACGGGAATTTTTACGCAAAATCAGTTTTTGACAAAATCGAATTTGGTTTTTGGTGTAACTTTAAAACAAATGACCGTAGATACATGAAATTTTCACTGGTTGTTTATATTTGCATTTTCTATACACGATAAAATTTTCAAAATATTTTGATTTATTTTGAACTGTTTAGGGACATTTTCATTTTCCATTTTTTTTTTAGTTTTTTTTCTAAAAATATCAATAAAATTGTATTTGTTGGTTGCGAAAGCTTGAAAATTTAATAGAAGGCTCCTAATATGTTGTTTCAAAGGCAGATGAAAAATATTAAAAATCCTTAGTCACAATTTTTTTTTATAAGCATTTAAAGTTCAAAAATTGACAAAATATGGAAAAATCACGAAAATTAGCAAATTATTTTGAGTTAAGAATTCGTAAAAATTTTTCTTTTTAAATCTAAGATTTGAAAATGAAACACAAGATTCCTTATAAGATTATCTACCTTTATCAATAAAAAAATCTCTACCGGACAGTCAAATTAAATTTTTATGAGCGTTTGAAATTCAAATTTTTACAACATTGGATTTTCACTCGATTACTCATGTAGCGATTTCCTTATTTTGTTGCAATTCAAAAACGAACAACTGTAGATACATGAAAATTTCACTGAATGTTTAAATTAGCATTTCCTATACACCATACAATTTTGAAAATATTTTGACTCTTTTTGAGCTGTTTATGGACATTTACAGCTTTCAATTTTTTTTAGTTTTTTTTTCTACAAATATCAATAAAGTTTTATCTGTTGGGCCAAAAAGTGTAAAAATTTAATACAAGGCTCCTGATATATTGTTACAATAGCAGTTGAAAAATATTAAAAATACATAGGCACAGTTTTTTTTTATAAGCATTTAAAGATCGAATTTTGACAGAATTTTTCAAAATCTCGAAAATTATTAATCATCGTAATTAATAAATTCTAAAATGTTCAGTTTTTATAGCTAAGGATTGAAAATTTAAAACAAGATTCTACGTAAGTAGTTAATTCTCTTACCGAAAAATCTAAAAAATATACAATCACAGTTTATTTTTATAGTCATTTTATGTTCAAATTTGGACGAAATTACATATTAAAAAACCTAGTTATTTTGTTGTGATTATATAATATTATTCGTGGGTACCTACTTGAAACTTCTAAAGTGTACTATTATATATCAATGATAGTATCAGGGTTTGTAATTGATCTTGATGTATAACGTGTTATAAGTACCTAATGGATATTGTGATAATGTGATATGATTAATTTGGAATTTATTATAGGTCAATTTTTTTTTTAATACCATAGATATGTATATAATTTGTCTTAAACCTAGACTGACATACCGTCTTCGCTCAGAATCGTTTTTCTTATACAATGATATTGTATCATTGAATTCAAATTTAATACCATCCATTATACAGTGACCCACTTGTAACCTACAGTACAGCAGAGCGACATCCACTTACCCACCTTTTTTAAATTGAAAATTGCTCCACCCTCTTCTCGAAAATAACTTACAACAAATTCTGAAAGTTGTCCAATAGTATCCAACAAATGGAGATGAACCTGTGTAGCACAAAAAACATGTCCCAACCAATAGTTTCGCTGCTGGCTTGAACTTGACAGCATAACTAGACATTTTTATACCGGTGAAAATAATTTCGAACAAAATTTTTAAGTTGTCCAATAATGTCCAACAATTTGAAACAATCCACCAACAAATTTGTTAGATTGATTGGGTCGATTTCTGATAATGTTGCGTGGCCGAGTTTACAGTGGTTGTATTTTGGGGTTTGTAAAAGGGGAAAAATAAAAAAATATCATGAATAAATGCTGAGTATATTGAATTTAAGTAAACTTATTTTCTTTCAATATTTTTTTTACTTGGCAAGGAATTATTTCTTAAAAGAAACAAAGTGTGATGAACAAAATAATTAAATGACGAAGGACTATTAAAATATCACTTATAAAAATCATTAATATAATTAATCACTATTAAAAATATTTTAATAAAATTAATATTTATGTTATACTATTCTAAATAATTCCTCACCAAGTTAATAATTATAGTTGAAACACAATAAGTTACTTAAATTCATTATACTTAGCAGTTATTCATGATATTATATCTTTTACATCTTTATAGTGCTTAAAGATCTTATATTTTTTTTACTTAGCCATTTTTACACTTTGTTGAATATCACTAATTTTTATCATCAATTTAAATAATGATAATGTATCTATATTTTTATCTATATATTATATATTATATTGTATAATGTACTTAATAAAGTTAGGACAACAATATTGTTTGAGTAAATATTGATTAAGTATTCAGTATTTACACAATGATCTAGGTACAAGAACGGTAATATTGTTTATAGTGCGGTAATTTTGACTAGATAACAAACATTGGCAACGCTGTTGCTACGGCGACGAAGACGACAACGGCTACAGTGATTCTGAATTTAATATAAATTTCCATTAAAAAGTTCATACTTTTTCGTTTATAACTTAATTTCTAAACATACTATTATTATGATTCTTACAAAAACACATTCTACACAATATTTCTGATATTTCGGAGTTTACTAAGAGTTAATTGATGCATTAACAAATTAGTTACGTCATATCACATTTACCCGTATTTTACAAGGTTCAAAATTTAAATAGGCAACTCCTGCTTCGATATAATATACCCACAAGATCGTACAGTTATTTTTTTTTTAACCTAACCTAACCACGACCGTGGCACTGGATGAAAATAATTGTAACTTATAATAATAGTTGAATGATTAAGACAGTATAATATTACAGTATGTACCAGATTTGACAGTTTTAATATGTTTTTTATAATTGCTTGGTTCAAGTTCGGCCAAGTCTATTGATGAAGTCACAATGACATGCAATAGCCTCTCACTAATTATAGCGTCCTTTGTTGATAGATTCTGAAAGTATGTAATCATTAAGTGAAATATTATTTAAGATACGTGTAAATATAATAATACTTAAATCGAAGTTTATCAATAATCTAACAGCACTAGGTAATCAAAAATAATCAATAACTGATTTATATCAAATAAAAATTATGTCAAAGTTTATGATTTAGGAATATCCAGGTTATTTTTTTTGGCTGAAGCGTATGTAATTATAAGTTATAACTGTAGTTATTATATTTTATAATACTCATTAAAAACGTATAATACATGGTTAAAAAATTATCCACTGTGTAAGATATATCTTAAGTGTAGTTATATAGTTAGGTGTTTCATAAATTACATAAAATATTATTGAGAATAAAGAAGATCTAACAGATTTTCTGGCAAGTTTGACCTCAAAAAATGCAAAATCAAAATGTAGGTATATATTATTATTTCAAAACTACTATTTTGAAGTGTTACATTTAAAATGTTAAGTAAGTGAAAGATATTTTAAAAATCTTACGCAAATGAGCTTCATTATTATATCCTTATCATGCTTAGCACGAAATACATTTTTTAATTTTGGAATTATTATTTCGCGGAATACTAAAAAACAAAATACAACGTAATCATAAAATAATTGTATTTAGTAAGTTAAGTATAAAGAATATAGATTATGTTTTAATCTATGGTACATTGAAACAGTATAATAACTCTAAGTACTGTATAAAAAATGTGGTAAAAATCATAAAAAAATAATTTTATTACTGATTTCATATATAGACTTAACGTTCTGTTAATATTAATTAACTAAACTAAGTTCCATTAAGAAAATATTCACAAATCTCTTTTTAAAATAAAATTTTATTTTTTTATTGTATAAATACTAAACATGAAGTTGAAAAATATCGAAATAGTGTCAAATAGGTCACTGTAATGAATGTGTTAAATTTGAATTCAATTATATATTAATGTACGAAATAACATTCTGAGCGAAGATAGTCTGTCAGCTTAAATAATTAAAAAGGTATATATTATTTCTTTTATACGATTATTCCTTTTAAAAATATCATCCAAATTTGTAATGTCTATAAAAAATATTGTGTCGGTATATTTTTTTAGATTGTTTTGTTCCAGAATGAATTATTTATAATTAACATTCTCGGTATTCAATTTTCAAAATTTAAGTTAATGTAACTAAAAAATAATTGTGCCAACTTATTTTTATTATTTTTACACAGCAATCAGAAAAATGTATGTAATGTGATGGGTAAATTGTGATTTTAAATTGTATAGGGTATATATGCTATAGGCGTGTCTACGGTGGCAGCCTAGGGTGCCTGGGTTGCCCCTGCAATTTTTCACAGGTGCCGATCAACCGAGTTTTAAGTCAGAGGGTTATAACATTTCTTTTTCTTTTTTTTTAACTTGATTTTTTTGTGGGTATGGGGTATCGTTATAAATACCATTTACTTAAAAAGATTGATTTCCTGACTTCCGAAATCGGAAAAACCCACTATAGAGACCTGAGACAGACGACGACGATACAGTACGCATCTAGGTATTATTGATATTATTGTTGTATTATTTTTGGTTTGTAGCTAGGTGGTGTAGGTAATCCAAGGATGATTATATTTCTGGAGTTAAAGTAGATTATTATTGTAAATAGATAATTTAGACTTTTTTTGAAATTATGTAAATATTTCATTGTGGAGGGGGGGGGGCTTAAAAAAAATACGGCTTTGGGTGTACAGGGCTTTTTTCCGTTCACTATAATAAGCTACCGACGGTTATTATCTAGGCTGCCCCTGCCAATGAAGTCTAGTCACGCCTATGGTATATAGGAAATAATAATATAAACATTCAGTGAAATTGTCATGTATCTACAGGTATTTGTTTTTGAATTACAACAAAATAAGGAAATCGCTACATGAGAAATCGATTGAATATCCAATGTTGTAAAAATTTGAATTTAAAACGCTCATAAAAATTTAATTTGACTTTCTTATAGAAATTTTTTTTTTTGATAAAGGTAGACAAACTTATGAGGAATCTTTTATTACATTTTAAAACTTGAGATTTAAAAAGAAAAATTTTTACAAATTTTTAACTCAAAATAATTTTCGTGATTTTTCCATATTTTGTCAATTTATGAACTTTAAATGCTTAGAAAAAAAAACTGTGACTAAGGATTTTTAATATTTTTCATCTGCCTTTGAAACAATATACTATTAGCCTCCTATTAAATTTTCAAGCTTTTTCAGCAAACAAATAAAATTTTATTGATATCTTTAGAAAAAAACTAAAAAAAAATGGAAAATGAAAATGTCCCTAAACAGTTCAAAATAAATCAAAATATTTTTAAAATGTTATAGTGTATAGAAAATGCAAATATAAACAACCAGTGATAATTTCAAGTGTCTACGGTCATTTGTTTTAAAGTTACACCAAAAACCAAATTCAATTTTGTGAAAAATCGGTTATGCGTAAAAATTCCCGTTTTTAATTAATTTTTCTTTTGTTAATCTTGTTGCTTGTGTAAACTATTGGGAATTTTAAATTTTGACCTCCCAAAAGTACCAACTAGATTCACTTTCTCATCGAACAAGTTACTGAAGTTGAAAATCGAAGCATTTTTTCGACTACTAATCGTGTACACAGATACAAAAAAAAAAAAAAAAAAAACACACATCATTGTAAAATCAATACATTCATCGTTTCACTCAGAATCTAAAATTAAAAATGGTTTGAATGGCTATAAATAAATTAAAAGAGTTATATATTTTGAAAATGTTATTTTTTGAAAATATAAATATTTTGTAAATTTTTTTAAGTATTTAAGATTTATAGTTTTTGACAGAAAAAAAATTGATTTTATCGTAAGAGTTTTGAGTAAAAATTCCCGTTTTCCTGTTTTTTTTTTCTTTTCCATAATTTTTTTTAATAATATCTAAGATTTGAAAATGTAATACAACATTTCTCATAGGTAGTTCATTGGTACTGTAACGAACAATTTTATAAATATATAAACACAGTTTTTATTAATTGACATTTTAAGTTAAAATGTGTACAAAATATGATATTCTTACAAATTATAACGATTTTAGTCTTTTGTTATAATTAAATAATATATTAAATTATTCTTTCTTCTTCCAAATACAATGTTTTCGGTAAAAATGTATTCATCCTGCTGCATTACTATCAATAAAATCAATTACTTTAGTAGCAATTTAAGTATTATAATTTATAATACAATATTTTGTAATATAGCCTGAAAGACGAACATTTTCGCTCATAATCGTTTTTGGTCTACAATGATTTAATATCATTAAATTCAAATTTGACCCATCCATTAGGGCTATTCAGTTGCCTATTCTTTCTTATTAACTAATTTTCTATCTGTTATGAGAATAATATTAATTATAATATAATTACATTGATTTTCGTTCATAAGTTCATTCATTGGCGCACAGAGTACCGACTTTTGTAATAATCCATTTTCATCCAAACACATATGTAACATGTCCATTGTGATTGATAATGCTTTATAGTTTAATAATCTATCCTAAAAAATTTTTTTTCTAAGAAATTAATTAATACTGACATAATACTAAAAAAATCTCTAGTTTGGATTAACTTAGAATTCACTCAAAACAAAGTAACAAATATATTTGTCTTACTTATAATATTATATACCATAATATAACATTTGTGTGTCATTTTATTTTTACACACAATTTGATTCAATCATTAATATTGACGGTAGTTTTAGTAGATACGTAATATTGATCTGCTTTATAATTTGTGCTAGTACTGTGTGGGGGGCAACCGGATTGTGACAGTGCAACTCGACGGCACAGATGTGGTCGTAAGGTATTTAAGGCGTAAGGTTCGCTCGAACTATGCTGGCTCAGGGTAATTGCCGCGCTATGGCAGTGGACTGTAGGCGGAAAAGGTAATAGGAAAATAGATGACAGTAAAAATATAGTTATTTTAGTTTAGACAATATTATAAAAATTTTATTGTAATGATTAGGAAAAAAATAATTCTGACGTGCTAGTGTTAGTAAAATATATGAGCACAACGACAAAAATTAAATTACATAAAAATATAAATCATAGATAGTCAGGTAACGGAAGAAGGTAAACAAATTAATTATCTGTGTTTGACCTGATAGCGGCTGTTGACAACCGATGGTTTTGCCGTTGTCCCGGCACGATGATAGTGAGCAGATGGAGGTTACACCAGAACGTTGACTTAGACAAAAACATCCGACTGACGGCAAGGCTCGTGAACACGTGACGAACACCGGAACACGGCGGATCACACTGCGCCCACACCTGGGGGACGATAACCGCCGATTAACCGTGGGTTTTGGCATGGGCAGCAACAGAATGCGATTTGTGTGTGCAACGAGGGGAACGACAAGGAACAACTAGCACAGACGGAAAGCCAAGATGATGGCGTTATTGACGACTACGGCGAGCTAGTTAGCGAAAGAAACAAAACTCCGGCTTAAGGAGAAAGAAAAACTGTGATGATTGTCAAGACGGCTGAGAAACGGTGACTCGCAACTGAAGGCACTGTCACGGGCTAGCTTGCGATGGGGCAGAGATAACGGTTCCCTCTCCGGAGATATCGGAATGGTCGGGCGGTGTTTGTGATAATGACGACAACGTGGGGCTAAGTCTAAAACCCGTCATCTCGTACCGAACAAGTACTATTTTAATTAGTAACGTGTTATTTTTCTGCAGAAAAAACTTTAACTCGATTTTTTCATCAAATATGATTTTAATGTATTAAATTTAACAAATAATTATATTATAATTTTGAATTTAGATTATTTGGCACTGAGACGGTAAAATTACCTAATTTTCAGTACCGAAGTAAACTCGGGAGGGTTAACCATTTGAATAGTTTACAGATCATTGAAATTGGGATTCGCTAGCAATGACTGTAGTGGCGTTTGTGGCATAACATTTTTGAGGAGGCAACAATATTGTACCCTTCTAGACATGTTATCCCCCAATTCTCAAAACTCATTTATTTTGTTTAAAAACAATATTTTTTCTTTAAAAATCCGTTAGAAGATTTTCATTTTCACTATTTCGTATGTTTAAAGTCAATAACTAGTAATTATTAATTATGTAATTCGGCGCTCACACTCACAGTACCTATCACACAAGAAATAAAATAATACAATTAAAATCATAGTATGAATAATAATTAATATAATATAATATCATTGTTATTATACTATTGCTATTGATAATAACTTATTAGTGATAAATAATCGTCAGCTACTGAGGCGCTGCAAGTCACAGCCTGAGAAAGTGGGTAGCCGCCGCCGATATGGGACACATAGAGGGGCAGCCATACTATGTAGTTATACAGTATATCAGTATAATATTAATATTATATTCGCCTGTTGGGCACGGGAACTGGCCAGTCTCTTACTTATGAGCATCACGGTCTTGTTTAAAGACCGAGGACGGGCATGGTACACTCCATATCCCTTCAATACATAATTTAAATATATATTTTATTTATTTCCCTTTTATAATAGTGTCTATATTTGAAAATATAAACACACAACATTTTATAATTTAAATAATATTAACCATGTATATTCTCTTATTTTCAAGGGACGCACTGGCCCCCTTGTCTCCACAGGAAAACCACCACTGCTCGACTGGCATTCCACTCTAAATTTCATACTGTAATCTTTGTAAGGTATTTGATTAGTTTTTATTTAAACTATTTCTAAATAGTCCCTACGAATGTTAAAGGTATAAATTCACTTACTTCGATGGATAAGACTGGTAACTGAATTGCTTTAATTATATTTTCTAATTTAACTTTTTCCGTTTTTCCAAAACTGCCAAGAATTAAGTAATTGTACATTAAATTATATTTGGTATAGATAATATCATTATCTTTAATGGATTGAAATTGGTCAATGGCCGATTTTTCTAATTTTTTCTTCTTACGTTCTTCGAGTATCTAAGAATGATATAATAATATTATTTAAGCAAAATTAAATGCAATGTGTTTCTTGTGAAGCAAGTAACTTTGTAACCTATGTAACCTATGTTTTAATTTCATTTTAGTTTACTAACTAATGAAATTATAAGAAATTTATGACAGGATTACAATACTCAACAGTCATGTACTGAGTTTGAAAAAACTCGAGTTCTATAACAATTTGACTATCAAATATTAAGTTACTATTTTTATATATTTTATAAAATTACATCCTTGGTATCATATTTTGTATACTAATCGATCAGTAAGAAAAAAAGCTAAATTAGCTATTTTCTGTCAACATTTCTTTTATACTTTATTGTAATACTATACTGTTGAACTTTTCTCAAAATTAAATGTATAAGATGACAAAATACTTGAAAAAACTCGAAAATTCAATTTTAACTATTTTTATAATTCATATAATTTATTATAGTATGTTACTTATCATGCAAACAATTTTTATAGGTAACAAATCATAGTTTTAATATTTTACGATTCTTAATAATAATGGATTTAAAATAGAAAATAATTAAATAGAATATTTTTTTAAATAAATTGATTTTATAGCCCTCGGCCTCAATTCTCACCCGACATAGATCTAACATAATTATTTCGACTTGTGTACGTAATGCGCATATTATCGTTCTGAGAATACATATATGTATATATACCGGATGTAGCTTATGTCAAAATATTATTATTTTTTTTAGCAATTATGGATCGATGATATGGAATTCCGAAAAAAAACGAAAAAGAAATTTGTATATATTTATAACAGGCAGTGGATTTAAAATTTGTTAGCTAATTTTGTACCAGTAACAAAATCAACTTTATTTTTTGAAATGATAACACCTATATTATTAATGGATTACAGTAAGTAATGTCTTTTTTACTGAAAAGCTTAACTATGATGAAAAAAATATAAAGTTATCAATTAATTGTGGTCATAATAATAAATTACGGTAATAATACGATTTTTTATGATTGTATATTGAAATAAAAATAATGAACGGTTTTCCAACTATTTTATAGACATTTATCCAAAAATTGAATATATATTTTTTTAGAACTTGTCATTACCAATTTAAGTGTACATAAAAATAGAGGGCTTTACTTAACTAGCTAAGCTTTAGCTAATCAAAAATACGTTTTTAAATCATACAGATTTAACGATCAAGTCTTTTCAGAAAAAAAACCTTACCAGAATCCATTAAAATATATAGTTGCTTCTATTTGAGAAAATAAAGTTAATTTTGCTATTGGTACAACTGCTGAACTGCATGCTTAAAAATTTTGAAATTGTCATAAAAAAATCGCCTGTTAAAAATAAATAAAACACGCCTTATTTCGTTTTTTTGAAACTCCATATCTTCAATGATCGATCCATAATAATTGTTAAAAAAACCTCGGGTACAATGATATACAAATGAGATACGCAGTGAGATACACAATGAGATACACAATGAGATACATAGGTACAACAAAAATCAACGTGTGTCTACTTAATTTATTGAATTCAAAAACCACACAGTTTAGATAAGCCCCGAACAAAACCACAAACGTTAGTTGGTAGTTTAAAATAACATAATTGTTCTGATTCCTGTATGCAAAAACCTCATTGTAATGATATTCACATTATTACGCTACAAAACATAAAAAACTAAATAGGTAGATGCATATCAAAATAACATTAAATGACTCTTAAACCCAATAAAATAACTATACTATATATACCAAACCATATCGATCAAAACTATGTATAACATTCAACTTGTTCAACTTAATTTTAATTAGTTCACTATAATCTAAAGTTACCTTCTTGTTTTACATTAATTTACAAAGCGGACTTTCATTCTTTGGATTAATAATTAATTATTAAAATTATTATAAGAAAGTATGTGATTATAATATATATAGAAAGTGTATCTAAATGTTTTACATTGGATATTATACAAAATAAAAAGATTTTGTACATCAATAAGATAAATGTTTCTAATTTTAACAAATATAAAGATATTTAATCATACTAAAAACTTAAAAGTTCCTTACTATAACAGTATAACATAACTACATAGATAATAGTTAACATATTATTATATTGTCAAATTGAATTAATACCACTGCTAGCCCCTATAGGCTATGGCCCTATCTTTGATTCATTACTAATCTTGCTAAAAGTTGTTGACGTTCAACAAATAACATCATACATCTGGTCTGTAGATAGTGTTTTTATTTCAATGTACAATAAACCAATAATGTGTGTACAAAAACCACACCTACCAATCTTTTTAGAGTCGATACCATAAGTGTATAGTTTTTAGATGCACCCTCATAAATATCTAATTACATATTGTACACAAATTTAAAAACAAGAATTATGATAACAGATATTTTGTTCCATTTGTGTATAGGTATTTAATTGATAATAGTGTTAGTAGATTGTACATACATCGTCTAGAAAATATTTCCGATAAAATAAAACTGATACACTGGAGTAGGATA